CATATTTTACCAGTGTGTGTTTTAAGATATCAGTTACTGAGTGCCTGGTTCTGTGCAAAATACTTTCAAGGTAGGTCTCACATAATTCTCACAATAATCTTATGAGGTAGGTGCTCTGATCACTCATTTTATCTCGGTGAAGAAACAGCTTTTTAAGCTTACATCATTAGACCAGGTCACACAGCGTTGCGTGGCAGAGTAAGGAACATAAATCATAGGCCACTGGCTCCAAAATTCACTGTCTTAACTTCCATGCTACATGTACTGCTTCTTGCTCACTCTACAGTCTATGTTGGTAAATCTTTTCCTATGTTCTCTATTGTACAAAGGCTTTGCTATTATTGTTCCATGCCCTTTCATCTTTCATTTCAAATCTTCCCCTTTGGAATTCTGATTTATGGAGAACTGGAAAATGTGGTTTCCTCTTGATTTATGCCAATGGTGCAGGTTCAGTCCCCAGTAAGGGCAAATACAGGAAGCAAATGGTGAATGCATAAATAAGTGAAACAACAAATCAATGTTTCACTCTTTCTTTCTCTCCTTAAAATCAATCAATAAATATTTTAAAAAGGTTAAATGGTTGGGATTTTTCCTCCAAGGAAAAGACAAACAAGCAACAACATCCCTTAGATTTATTTTTCTTTGATAAGTAGAATTGGAGATAAACCACTTATTTATGCCTGAAATAGAAAACAAACTCAGGATATACATAAAAAGCACAAACAAGCTTGGCCAGTGTTGCTCAGTGGTTGACCCATGAACCAGGTCACTATTCAATTCCTGGTCAGGGCACATGCCCTGGAGGCAGCCTATGGATGATTCTCTCTCATCATTGTTGTTTCTATCTCTCCCTATCCCTTCTTTTCTCTGAAATCAATAAAAATGTATTTTTTAAAAAGCACAAACAAAATTGGGTGATACTTTCTTTTTAAAGTAATTTTAAAAATTATCCTACATTTAAAGTGTATGCTGTATGTAGATACAGAAAACCGATAAATATAAATAAAATCACTTAATGTTATCTTAAATTCAGAGTATAATGCTGAAAGCAATTTATTCCTATCATCCTGAAAATAAAAATGAACAATTTTACTGCTATCACAATAATTTTCTATATAACAACAAGAAATTTGAAAACTATACAATAAACTACTGGTTTTTGAGGCATAATGTAAATAAACAAATTAATATACATTTTGGTGATTAGGTGATTAGTATTTTTATTTTTAAACATTTGAGTTTATTGGACTTAACATTATTGTGGCTGGATCAATATGTCTAAACTAGAGGCCTGATGCACGAAATTCATGCAAGGGGCTTGGACCTCACAGCCACAGCTGCCCTGACCCTCACAGCCCCTGCTTCATCCGGAAGATCGTCAGGACAGCCATCTGCTGTTTGGTTGTTTGGTTGATTTGCATATTATGCTTTTGTTATTATAGGTCAGACCTGACCAAAAGTTTTAATTGCTTAATAATGAATGAGTTCAATTAATCATGGTCAGCTTCAAATTCTATAAGCAGAGGGAACATGGAAGGAATACATCTCTTTATGAAGTAGTTTTCCCAAACAATAGTCAAACAGACTCACTGAATTTTTCATTCTTGTCCAATTCTAATGCATAGTTCTATTGTACTAGGAATATGTTTGTAGATAAAACAACTGCCTCCAGTTAGTATTCCAGATATGTAAATGGAATTTTTATCTTCTACCACTGTTGGGACAGGCCACTCTTACATCATACACATAGGAGGTTTTTAATAAATATTTGGTTACAAATGAATGAAGAGAGCTAAAAGGGGCTTTACCTGTTATTATAAAGCTGGTGAGAGAGAAGGAAGAAAATTTAGCCATATTTTAATAACAGGCTTGGTGTAAATTAGATAAACTAATAATTTCTCAGATTTCTACTTTAAAAAGTCACATGCCAACACCAAAGAAGGTTACTGTTATTCTTATGTGGGTAATAATGTTATATTTGGTTGTGAAGAATTGGCGTCCCTTAAATTAGTAGCAGTGGTATTCTTGGTGGCCATGTGTGAGGACTGGTTTCAAAGCTCTCTACTTCATACGGTGACTCCCTGGAGTATAATCTCTCAGGAATCTGATAAGAATCTAATAATACTCTCTAGAGGTGATGCAATGTGGCTGATTGAGAAGGTCAAGAAAAATTTCATTTGAGGTGACCTTATTGTTTGGTGATCTGGCTTGACATTTTTAGTCCCAAATTGGTTTTTGTAATTAAAGAACATTGTGGCCTTAGTTTTCAAAAAATATTGGATGGGTAATCTAAAAGAAAGTGCTATAATTCAATCTATCACCTGCCCAATCAAGACCCTGCTTGAGAGGGGGCACTGAGAATTTTCATGCTAAGTGAGTGCACCAGCCCAACTAGATTACGATATTTTATATGAGAGAAAAACAACGAAAATGTGAAATCTCTGTAATTAACTCCAACTTCCCTAAGGTCTAAACTAAAATCACCATTTTAATGTGACCTATATAAATTGTTAGAACAAAATAGGTCCATCACTTTTAAGGAGGCATTTGGTTAAATTTTGATTGGCTTTACAAATAAAAGAAGGAAAGGTGGAGAAATAACACAGAACATACATGCTCTAGGACATATGTGTTCTAATGCTCTTCCTCATTACTTGATAATGTTCTAACAAAGGGACCAGAAGAATGGCAAGAAGTGAATGTAAGAAAACATGTGTGTCTGCCGCTTAGAAAGAAACGGATGATCCTGCAAGATTGAAGACTTGACCCATGGGTTTTATTAGAGCAAAAGGGTTGATGTCCTATGGTGCATTAAAAGAAGGGGGGGTAGGAACATGCAATGAACTGAATATTTGTGTCTCTGAATTCACATATTGGAACCCTAATCCCCAGTGTGGCAGTATTCGAAGGGCCTTTGGGAGGTAATGAAGTCATGAGGGTGAAGTTCTCATTTGTGCCCTTGTCAGAAAAGACAAGAGAGCTTCCTTTCTCTTTCTCTCTACCTCTCATGTGAGGTTACAATGAGAAGATGGCCTTCTGCAAATGAGGAAGAATGTCCTCACCGGACACGCACATGTGCTAGTGCCTTGATCTTAACGTTCCCAGCCTCCAGGACCGTGAAATAAATGTTTGCTGTGTCGGCCACCCAGTCCATGGTATTTTTTGTAGCACCCATAGCCCCCCTAACTCACTAAGACAGGAAATAACGGGGTTTGTATTTGTACTGACTGCCTTTAAAAACACTGCCTTCAGTTAGTAATCATCCCTTGTACCTAGACATCGTGCGTGTGTATTTTTTTACAATGCTAGCCTAAGACTATATGATTTGAGTTGTTGGGTAAAAAATGCTATTTGGCCCACACTGCAAGGAAGGTAACTAGCAAACATGAAAGGCAAACTGAAATGTCCTATGAACCGTGGAAGCCAGGGGTAGAGGCAGACACAGAACTTGAAGCACAGCCACCACTCAAAGGACTTACCACCGTGAAGTTCCTTCCTGCTTCACGCACGCTGATTACCATCCTCAGGACACTGACTGAATTCAGGTTTTTCCCAACACCTGTGATTGTGCTCCCACCACTGGCAAAAGAAAACAGATAAACAGCAACATTGAGAGGTTTTCCCTACCGAGTGTTTTAAAAGAGTTCAGTTAAATCACATGTAGTGATGGTAAGTTGTTCCCAAAGCCAAAGACCAACGGAAGTTCAGTGGTAATGGTTCTTTGGAAACAACTTGTTTAACTTGAAAATACTTTCAAAATTCACATTTCATAAAATGAAGAAAATGCATTTGTCTTTTTATTCACCAAATATGCAAAAGAAATGTTTCTCTCTGAAAATAAACTACAAAAACACAAAGACGCGTGAACTTAACTATTGTTACTATACTGATAGAATTAACGGAAACAAGGCAGACTGAAGTGGGTCGAATGAGATATTGATACTCTGCTCAGCAAAGCTATCATTCAGAATTGAAGGTCAGATAAAGAGCTTCACAGATAAGAAAATGCTAAAGGAGTTCATCACCACCAAACCAGGACTATATGAAATGCTGAAGGATATTCTTTAAGAAGAGGAAGAAGAAGAAAAAGGTAAAGATAAAATTTATAAACAACTAAGTGACAACAAATTAATACCAATCAACAAGTGAACGAAGGGGCTTTAGTAAAACGTCCTGGTTTTTGCTGTATAAAATAAACTCGCTGCATCGACTTAAATATCTTACGCCTATGGATGAGGACAGTGGCAGGGGGTAAGAGCAGGGGGTGGGATGGGAACCAGGTCGAGGGGACCTATGGGGGAAAAAGAGGAACATCTGTAATAATCTGAACAATAAAGATTAATAAAAAAAACATGATAAAAAACAAAACAAAAAACCCAAAGGGACTCTAGTATAGGGAAAAGCTGTATGCAAAGCAGGCAGGAGCCTATGGATGAGGACAGTGGCAGGGGGTAAGAGCAGGGGGTGGGATGGGAACCAGGTCGAGGGGACCTATGGGGGAAAAAGAGGAACATCTGTAATAATCTGAACAATAAAGATTAATAAAAAAAACATGATAAAAAACAAAACAAAAAACCCAAAGGGACTCTAGTATAGGGAAAAGCTGTATGCAAAGCAGGCAGGAGAAAATACACTGAAGAATGGGGGAAATAGAGGTGATTCTACTTTCGAGCACTAAGGTTAGTATAGAATTGACATGTACATAAAATAAGTACATAAATGATGCTACGTTAAACTGTTTTACTGAAATCTATTCAAAAAGTAACAGGATAGGATAAAATGTTTCTTGGCATGAACTAGCATTAATAAAGTCAACCTGTATTCAGGACAAGGATGTCGTTTTCACTCCTAAATTGGAAAGGCAGCCTTCAAAAGAAATGAAAAGATAAAACCACAATTCCTCTTGGCTACTCAACAGCCAAATCATTCTGATGTTACTTCTTTTCTTTTTTAAAAAATATGTTTTTATTGACTTCAGAGAGAGGGAGAGATAGAAACATCAATGATGAGAGAGAATCATCGATCGGCTGCCTCCTGCACGTCCCCTACTGGGAATCAAGCCCACAACCAGGAATGGAACTGTGACCTCCTGGTTCATGGGTTGACACTCAACCACTGAGCAATACCGGCTAGGCTTATGTTCCTTAGTTTTACACCCATCGGAAATTTTTCTTACCTAATAAAAGATCTGGTTGGATGGATTTCATAGACAATGGGGTCTTCCTGGTAACTGAAGCTGTCAATCACTTTGTTGGCCAAGTCAATTTTCAGTTTAACAGGAAACTCAGTTGGAGAGTTTTGGGCTGGGGTATAACATTCGAGAATGCTATCTGACACACTGTATAAAAATAAACACACACACACACAAAATGAAGAAAATGAACTTCAGCTATTAAAGATACACATATTTGAAAATTATATCCATAAAGCAAAAGGACATCACTCAATGACTCCTAAATAGGAATTTCCTGATGTGGTCTAGATAAAAGATCTTTCTAATGTAGGCTGTTTATATTTGACTAGATTCCAAATTTAGTCTTGTTTGAGCAAGCCTAAACGTCAAAATTTTAGGATTTTAACTAATTATTAAGGTATCCTTTTGGTATTTGATTAAACTGTGCTATTTCAACCCTAAGAAGCAAAAATATAACTTCTCTACAAACCCAATTTCCCCCACGTTTCTCATCCCCCAAAGTGAGTTAGTCTAATTGTAAATCTTGATGGAAATGTTTATTTTATTTTATTTTCAATTATTAGAATTTCACAACTCATAGCATAGCTAGGATACTAAGATAAAACAGGAGAGAAGATGAATGGAAAGATAAAACTTAAAAGTAGAATTAAACAATAAGGGAAAGGTAGAAAAATGAGCAAAAGGGAATAGATGGAGTTGGAAAGGAAGTAGTTTTATCAGTAAGAGGGTGAATGATAAGTACCTTTGATTTTTCCCATAAAAAAGAATAATTTTTTCTTGAATTGTTAGATGTAGATATTAATCCTACATGACCAATGCAAAAAAAAAAACACAGATTTACAACACCTTTTTAAAGTACAGGTTTTTCCACCAATTGAAACGTGTCTAGAATTCCCACTGTTAAGGTATTTTCCAGTTAAAGTAAGTAAAGTGCCACCGGTTTTAGGACCATAACTTGGGGAAATACTTGTTATTATAGGATCCTGATGAGAGATAAGAACAAAAAAGCAACAAAACTTGTTAATTTTATAACTCTAAACAGATTAAGTAACAATTAAATATCCTACTTCTTGAGAAAAGCAATAGACTTACCACATAAGAAAATGTACTGTATTGCACTGTCCCTCGACCATTTGAAATAGTTATGGACATATTGAAATGCTCATTCATTGCAGGACCAACTGTGCATTTTAACCTGGGGGAAAAAAAACACCCCGAAGAGTTTAATATGTTGCATGTCCAAAGGAGGCATTTTCTGGCGTGGCTGTTTTATATGAAGGGACATAAATGTGTGAGCTGACTATCCTGATTAGCAAGCAGAGTCTTCAGCTCACACATTTGTTAAACCTCATCAATGCAGAATTCACCAATTTGTTCATAAAAATCTAAGTCTCATCCTATAAAATTATAGGCAAAATGTTTGGCATACTTAACAAATAGTATTTCAATAGCATAACAATGACTAATGATAAATAAGCCAAATCTCTTCATTGAAGAATGCCAACAGGTACAGTTCTGTGATTACGTGTGTTTATCAAAGTTCCTTAAAAAGTAATAAAATTGTGAAAGGTTTTCCATAGGATTATTTTTGAATAATCTCATAGTCCTGAAAGATTATAAATATAATTTGTTTTATTAAATAAGTTTTAAAGAAGAGAATTAATTGTTTCACTTTTACAGGCCCTAATTTATAATGCAATGAATAAGAAATTACAAGGTAAATTTCCAGAATTAATTTGTTAGGTCACTAAGCTAAATAACTATGACATTAGTGGATATTTCAGTCTCTGTAAAATGAATAGATTTAGACCTTTCTGTAATCCTGAAAGGAATTCTTTTAGGTATAAAATAACCACTTGATAGACGAGGTTCAACCATAAGACTGTACATTTTTGGTTGTTACTATACAATCACTAAAAATTCTGAATTCTCATACATTATGGGATTCAGATCTCATAGAAGGTACGTGTAGAAAAGAGCCAAACAAGCACAGGTTCTGGATCAGGAACGCCGAGCTTGAAGGCTTATAAATCACCTCGTACCATTTGCATGACCTGTCTCAGCTTCAGGAGTCACCTTTGTAAAACAGGAATGATACTGCTATCTCACAGGATTCGGAAGTGGCTAAATGAGATACACTCCTTACATTACAATGCCAATAAATGTCAGCTGAATGTAAACTTAAACTCATCAGAAAGAGTCTCAAAACTGTGATTCAGCGATCCTACTACTGATGTTACAAAGTAAATTTAAAAGAGAGGGCACATATTGAGCTATTTATTGATTTTTATAGAAATAGCCACTGGGTACTATATTTGAAAACTTTAAAGATGGAGTGACTCCAACCAACCAGTGCTTTCCAATCTACTCAGACAATTTCTGAAGAGTTGTTACAAAACCAGCTGAAAACTCCCAAATGCTGGGTTCTTCTTTTTTTCCATCTAGATAATGTCAACTTTCTCCCTCCTTAATTCTGGTAGAAAATAGATAAAAAACAACAACAAACAAATCCAAAAGGGATGTGATAGACCAAGACTCCTAAGAGATAAATTTTTAGGGACATTTTTTTTACAGGCATTCATTCAAAAACAAACCTGTTTTCCAACCACACCCCAGCAAAGTATTTACTTTAAGATCCTTACATATTTGTTGTACTCTCACTTAGGGTCAAGGTACAGCTCTCATTTCCAAGGAGAATTCTGGTTTTCTTTACATCAAATTTACTATTCTTCCTGAATCCAAAGTCCCAGCCACAGATGGTCAGCGTTGTCCCTCCTTCCAGAGGGGCACTAGTTGGGAAAACCTACAAGGACAACATAGAACTTAAAAACCCCAGTATATTATCTTGCATTTTTCCCACTACCTAAAACATTTAATTTTTTTAAAAAACATTTAATTTTAATTAAAGAAATAATGGTCAGCCTGGCTGGCATGGCTCAGTGGTTGAGTGTCGACGTATGAACCAGGACGTCACGGTTCAATTCCCAGGACACAATGCTGGGATTGTGGGCTGGGTCCCCTTTGGGGGATGTACAGGAGGTGGCTGATCGGTGATTCTCTCTTATCATTCATGTTTCTGTCTCTCCCTCTCCCTTCCTCTCTGAAATCAATAAAAATATATTTTTCAAAATGATGACAAACTTCAGAGTATCTGAACATTAAAACTATCTGACATGCTGCTCTGGTTGGTGTACCTCAGTTGTTTGGAGCTTCATCCCACGCACCAAAAAGGTGGTGGTTTTGATTCCCTGTCAGGGCATATACCTAGGAGGCAGCCGGTCGATGTTTCTCCCTCACATTAATCTTTCTTTCTTTCTCTCTCTCTCTCTCTCTCTCTCTCTCTCTCTCTCTCAAATGAATGGAAACATGTCTTCAGGTGAGGATTAAAGAAACCCCCCAAAACAAAAAAACAAGTTGTTTTCAGCCAATCCAGAGCAGGGACAGAGAGCAGACTCAGCCTGGGTGGGAATGAAGGGCTTCTTGGGCTACTCTGAAATGAAATCGTCTTCTAGGAAACCTTGAGGCTAAAGAAGACATAGTTTGGACCCAGTCTTTTATGCTTAGAACTCTGATTATTACTCCTTCAGGGGCCTCTATGAAACTGCTCAAAATGCCTTCATGAGCCCTAGAAGCCAAGCTCCAACATATGCCTGGTCTGTGTGCTACACTCTGGTTGCTATGATATTCCTCACCCAGAGAAGAAAGGCACACAGTAAAAATATATCTTTTGATATTCATGTTTTCAGTTGCATTCAGCAGCTTTCATAATATCAAACACATAGGTGGTATTCAATACATACCTGCCATTTATTTATATATCATCTACTGCGTGCCAGGTAGCAATGTATGAATAAGTGAATCTATTTCTTTCACTTGTTAATTCACGTTTATTATTGGTTTGCAACTCTTCTATTTATACCAGTTGGTGAGTTGATACACTCAGCCTTTAAAAATGATGTAATATTTAACACATTCAATATATTATTTGTATTAGAAAGAGATGAAAACAGAACTGGAGAGAGCCCCAAATGCGATCTGTATTGTAGTAATGTTTCTAATGATCTCTCTTGGCATTACTTTACATCTCATTGCTAGGACTGTTCCTGCCCCATTGTTCAATGTTAAATAAATAATAGGTTTATTTTATTCTTTCGGATGTGTGAAAAGTAAAGTTAAATTTATTAACAAGTACATTTACCACATGACCGAGCAATCCCTCTTCTGTGTATGTATCTGAAAAACTCTAAAATATTTATTTCCAAAGATTTTGCACCCCTATGTTCACTGCAGTGGCCAAGACATGGAGACAATCCAAGTGTTCTTTGATAAAGGACTGGATAAAGAAGATGTGGTACATATCTGAGTGAATGCTACTCAGTCATAAGAAAAAGATGAAATACTGCCATTTGTGACAACATGGATACACCTTGAGAATATTATGCTAAGTGAAGTAAGTCAGTCAAAGCTAAGAACCATATGATTTTACTCATATGCGGGCTATAAAACTGAAACTCATAGACACAGACAACAGTATAGTGGTTACCAGAGAGAAGGGGTGGGGAGGTTATTAAAGGGTAAAGTGGGCCAAATATATGGTGAGGAAAAATGATTTGACTTCAGATGGCAGGCAAACAATGCAATATACACATCATGTATCATAGAAATGTATACTTGAAAGCTATGCGATCTTATTGAGCAATGTCACCCCAATAAATGACTAAGAGAAATTTTTGATTCCAATCACACACACATACACACACACACACACACACCAAAAAAAGCCTCTGGCCACTGTAATATAAGATAGCATTAGGCTCTTAGGAAGTCTATAAGATAATGGTTCTTAGACTAAAACTATTAAAAACAAAACAAATTTCCAAGTTAAAAATAAACTTCTCAGCAGTTTTGTGACAATCGAGAAAGGAAATGGTCTTTCGGGGGGTCATATTGTAAATTGTGCTGTAAAGTACAATAGTGGGAAAACAGCACCACCATGGAGACAGCTCAGACCGGTCTTTGTTTAAGGCCAGTTAGTGAGAATCTGAAAGTGCTTCTTCACAACTTACAAGGGCTTTTAGCAAAATTCAAATTTGCAAAGGTTCCTATCCTCCCCACATAATAACTGCAAACCAAATTCTTAACTTACCTTGTTTACTACTGCCCTTTAAAGTTTTAGCTTAATGCTTTTATGGAAGCTATTTTACCCATTAAGCCCATGACACAGTTGTGCCTTTCTTGAAAACTTACTTGTCCACGTCTAGCCAAATGAGAACTGCTAGGAAAAAACGATCTGTTTATTATTATGTTAGATATCTAGCAGGAGAGACTACGACACCTAACCCTCCGGGACTTTCTTCAGCCTGAGGCGGTCACACAGCTGCTGCTCCCTCTTAATGAGGCGTCCCCATAAAAAACAGCTGCCAAGGCCCGGCCCCCCTGCAGGATCCCCCCTTTCTATGTAAAAACTGAAGTCTGTCACTCTCCATACATCATGACTTTCTATATAAGGCAAAGGAGTTGGGTGATGATTTGAGAAAAACCACTGTGTTCAAATGGTGCAGCAGAATTGGATATTATAAAAATTTGGCTAGACCATCAGGTTTTGAAAGACCAGCTCTACTTAGCTTCTCTCTCCAGGCTGAAATACTAGAGGGGGCGTCTGAGGCTTTTCCCTAGCTCCTGGTGTAATGTTCACTCTTCCAGGGGAAAGGAAGGAAGCAGTATTGGGCTACACACCCCTGGACAGAATCAACAATGGGTTGGCAAACTCTGAGTTCTCCTGAAGGGCACAGAATCTCTGTGGGAAGGAAATGAGTGTCCAGCATAAAGCTACAGGGGCCGGGGCTCCCACCTGCCTGAACAGGGGAAAAACAGCTACAAAAGGAGCGAGCCTCCTTTCACAGGTGAAAATGATTCCAATGATCATGTTTTCAAAACCCACCAAGGTAATACACGAGAAAGGTAGAAACAATAATAAAAAAAACCCTTGGAAAATTAAAAATTGCCATGTATCAGTAATGTAAGCTATGAACAATAAGGGAAACCAGGTGAGGGGTATGTAGGAAAACAACAACAACAAACTTTGGGAAGTTATACTTCGTCTCTTCAATAGGAAAAAAGTCACAACTATATTGGTGGCAGTGTATTATTAACTGCGTGACCCCTGCCCCTGTAAGATATTGCTGTTGCTTCTTATCTGAGTCTTCTGATCAATTAATAAACTGTTTATTGTCTCACTGGGATTGAATTCAATCCTACAAGCTATGACAATTTTATCCTGATAAATTCAGAATATATTGGAAAGTGCTCTTCCTTTTCTAAAGCACTTCAGATTGCTCTTTAAGTACAAGATCAGACAATAGGTCAGAAACAAAATAATGGGCTTTCAAGTCTGAAATCTGTCACATGTGGAACTGCCAAGAATTTCAGCCATTGAACATTGTGTACCTTGAAAAGCAAGTTAATTTACATTTATTGGAAAGTGAAATCCTATACGTTAGCTGGGTTTTGTGCCTCTAGAATTTAAGACAGATAAGAAAAAGATGAATAATCTGTCTTATTTTGGTTGCAGTCAGAATGTTGAATGTCACGCTCGAGGGCAGCATGAAATCTTCCTAACAGCTATGAACCGAAAGGGATTTATGGGCTCAGCTGCACCCTTTTCCTTCTAACCATTCAGCTGAAGCCGCACTGACTCATGCATGAGGCAGGATTGCCAACTAGAGTGTTGGAAAAGGAAAGGTGAGAGAGGAGGTAGCCTCACACGTTAGGAGAGATTTTTCTGGTTCTAGAAAATTCTAAAATGTTTGCCCTGTTTTTAACCGTTTTAGTATGTCTTTCATGATGAATAAAAGGAAGTACATTGGGCAAAATTAAGTGTTTCACGTGTACAGGTTTTCAACCTGCTCTTATTTAAAACAGCAGCATGGCTACTTTTGAAATAAAATTGTTATGATTTGACTGCGCGTGTGTGTGCGCGCGCGCACACACACACACACACACACACACACACACACACACCACACTGCTCATATCTCTTTCATGGAATAGCTGAGCTCAGTTTTCTAGTGTCTCAAATTGCCAAGGCTGTGTGTTTGAAAAAAAGTATAAAATTACATGTAGTTTTAAAAGTATATTAAAGAACAACAAAAAAGCATACATAAACACTACAGTATAGATAATTATTTCACTATCTTCTAGTTTATTCTCTGACCGGTCAAGCTAAGTTAATAATTGTGTCACACTCAACAGGAAATAATTTGGTTTAAAACTTAGTCACCCCGTACAGATCGTGTCCCAAACCATAACTAAATGAAAACAGCCACGCACTTGGGGGCAGTTCCTGTTCTGACTTGTACGCTTTGTTTACTTGGGCTTGAACCAGGCAACCCGAGGCCTTTAACTTGAATCTTTCACAAGGACCACTTACTAAAGTCCAACTGTCCTTCATGCAGCAGAGAAAGTACACACTGGGTCCTCACCAGGGAAGTATTTTCAAGCAAAACGTGTTTGGATCAAGACATTTTTTAAAAGTGCCAGGGAGATTTTCAAAGTACCAAATATGTACTTAAGAAACGAAGGCAGCAGAGAGAGACGGTGGCTACAATGCCACAGCTGAGGTCCACCGCTAGAAGCTAAATTCTCTAGTAGGAGGCACTTTGATCTCGTTAGAGACTCTACCTCCCCAGTGGCTAAAATCGTGCCTGCTGTGTAGTATGTAGTATGCATTCAAATATTTTTGGAGTAAATTAAAGAAGGAAATGGCTGACACAGTGTAGATTGTACTATAGTCAGCAGCTGCACACTTATGGCTCTTCCAGGACCTTGGAGAGAAGGTGCACAGCCACCCATGGGAGTTTACTATCTTCTTGCCCTGGGAAGTAACTCTAATCTCTCCTGTGATGAGACAAGGCCACCATCTCTGGAGTCAGACAGGAAGAAACCTGTCCTGTCTGCCCCAGAATGGCTGTGATCTCTAGCTTGCACGGCTCAGTGTAGGGTTGCGGGTTATGCCATGAGCAGATCTCTGTGTGTGGTAGAGGCTCATGTGTAGGCACCTGGCAGATAACGTAGGTGGTGAGGACTCAGAAAATGGGGGAGTCAGGAGGGAACAGGCCCCAGTGTGAGGAAATGGGGAGCTTATTTACATCACACTAAGAGAGAGCAACTGCCCAAGGAGAAAACCTACACACAGTGGGTGTGAAGCAAGCGCTTCAGGTACAGGACTCTGGGGATGTGCCCAAATGTCACCCTAACGAAAAAACGTGGGGGCAGATGGTGCTTCCGCTGATGTCTCATAGCTCAGTGAGTCAACTGAGTTTTAGAACTTTTTTTCATTAGTGGGATGTGTGTTTATCAAAAAGCATACTGATAGCTGCCAGTGATTCCTACCTCATAGATTGTAGGATGACAGAGCTCTTGAGTCCATGTTCCGCTGGCGCATTCCTCCAATCGCGCACATCTGTCGTGGCACCAGCCACACTGCACGAAGGGAGGGGCAGAGAGGCACTGGCTGCAGGACTGGAAATGCTCACAGCCCAAGCCATTCAATGGGATCTTGGTGATCTGCAAAGAAAAGTGATATAAAGAGCTTCCAGAAAGTTCGTTTGTTTGTTAAACAAAAACTAAATATACCCAAAATACACATGTAAATATAATTTTACAGAGCCTACGAGAGGGAACACCTATGTGTGCAAATCATGTAATAATGATTATGTGACTAGGGTAAAAGAAATCAAATTCCTTTCTTCCCTCTCCTTCGGGCATGTATGTGATAGAAGTTACCCTGATGTCCAGTGAACACACACCAGCACTGCCATGCGATGCTAGAGGTTCTACTTAGTAGAGACGTTTTGCTCTGTGTGAGACAATGTTAAAGTAACAAGAGTATAATGAAGCATCTGGAAAGCACACTTGAGCCCCCAGGAAATTCTAAGTACGTTTACATATCATTCCAGCATCAAGATGCACCTCCTTCTCTCAGAGAAAAATGGGTTACTGTTTGGCATCAAATTCCAATCTGCATTTTAGGATCCATCTGCCTGTACTAGAGTTCTTACCTTAGGACTGTAATACTGATTTAGTCTGCTTGTTTTTCTCATTGAGAAATACAGGAGAAAAGGAAAAGTATATATTATGAAGAGGATCTCCCTGAGCTGCTGTCTTCCCTAAAATAAAAATTTAACTTGACTTCACAAGATCTCTGAAATACTCGAGAGGTGAGTCCAAGACAAAGAGAGAAGTCAGAAAGGCCCTCCTGGCACTGGCAATACATACCCACTCAGGAAGGACGGCACTTACCCTCTTCCCCGTGACCACCAATGTGTAGCCGTTTTGGTCTAATGGCTGCTCCACAATCATTTCTGGAGACACGGGGTGGGAATCCAGGCGAAAATTCACATGAGGGGTTGACGATCCCGATCGAGAAACTACAACCTGGGAAACGAAACAGAAAACACCTTTATTCCAAGAAGCTCAGTTTACATATAAGTGGGAAATGTGGATGGTAACGGTAATAACAGATTTGGAGAGCTTGTGGGTGTTCAAACTAAAGGGCCAATGGTTTATCTCATTGTAAATCAATCTGACATCTAATTTTCTGCCTTGAAGACAATTCATCTGAACCCCCAAGACAGTTTTCCTAGGACCTTTTAATGGTTTCTAGGGAAGGAGGTCTCCTAATCTGCCAGCACATGCAGACAAATCGTCATGACTGCACTGGGGACTGGAGGAGCCCAAACTCTCCCCTGAACAGAAGACCTCACTTATGCTATGGGGTTTCTGGATTATTTTATTTTATTATTTTTTAAAATCTCTCTCTGTTGTGGAGAATATTACAGATGTCTACCATTTTTCCTCCCATTGCCTCCCTCTACCTGGTTCCTGCCCTGCCCCAGGCCTTCACCACCCTATTGTCTGTGTTGTCATATACTAGTAAGATCTTTGGTTAATCTCCTCCCACCCCCTACCCCCACTCCCCCCTTCCCTCAGAGATTCATCAGTCTATTCCATGTTTCCATGCCTCTATTCTATTTTATTCACCATTAGACTTCTTGTTCATTTATTTTGATTTTTAGATTCAATTGTTGATATGTATTTATTGCCATTTTATGGTTCATATTTTTTATGTACTATTTCTATCATTTCTTGAAGGCACTCTGTGTGTTTTTGTGCTCAGAAAGCGAAAAACCCACCCTCGGTGGTTTACACTGAACATTTTTAGGAGGTGGGAATTAGAGGCGGTGATCCCCAGGCCTTCACCACCCTATTGTCTGTGTTGTCATATACTAGTAAGATCTTTGGTTAATCTCCTCCCACCCCCTACCCTCTCTCCCCACCCACCACTCCCACTTCCCTGAGAGATTCAGTCTGTTCCATGTTGCCATGCCTCTGATTCTATTTTGTTCATCAGTTTATTTGGTTCATTAGACTTCTTGTTCATTTATTTTGATTTTTAGATTCAATTGTTGATATGTATTTATTGCCATTTTATGGTTCATATTTTTTATGTACTACTTCTTCTTCCTTTTCTTAAAGAATACCCTTCAATATTTCATATAATACTGGTTTGGTGGTGATAAACTCCTTTAGTTTTAGTGGTTTTTTGTTTTTGTTTTTTTTTGTTTGTGAAGCTCTTTAATTGACTTCCAATTCTAAATGATAGCTTGTCTGGGTAGAGTCATCTTGGTTGTAGGTCCTTGCTATTCATCACTTTGAATATTTCTTAAATTCCCTTCTGGCCTGCAAAGTTTCTGTTGAGAAATCAGCTGAGAATCGTATGGGCACACCCTTGTAGGTAACTAACTGTTTTTCTCTTGCTGCTTTTAAGATTCTCTCTTTGTCTTTAACCCTTGGCATTTCAATTATGATGTGTCTTGGTGTGGGTCTCTTTAGGTTCCTCTTGCTGGAGACTCTGTGCTTTCCTGGACTTGTAACTCTATTTCTTTCACCAGGTAGGGGAAGTTTTCTGTCATTATTTCTTCAAATAGGTGTTCAACATCTTGCTCTCTCTCTTTTCCTTCTAGCACCCCTATAATGTGAATATTGGTACACTTGAAGTTGTCCCAGAGACTCCTTACACTATCTTCATATTTTTGGATTCTTTTTTCTTTTTGCTACTGTGATTGGGTGTTTTTTGCTTCCTCATATTCCAAATCATTGATTTGATTCTCAGAAACCTCTAAACTACTCTAGAAGCCCTGTGAATTATTCTTTATTTCAGTTAGTGTATGCTTAATTTCTGACTGGTCTTTTTTCATGTCTTTGACATTCTCACTAAGATCCTTGAAAGTCTCACTAAGTCCCTTGAAGCTCCCATTAAGACCCTTGAATAATCTTATAACCATTGTCTTGAACTCTCTATCCAGTTGTCTGCTTGCTTCCATTTCTTTCATTTATACCATATTTCATTTTCTCTGCATTTTTAGCTGCTTCCCTGTATTTGTTTATATGTACTAGGTAGAGTGTTATGTCTCTTGGAATTGGTAGAATGACCTTGTATAGTATGTGTCCTGTAGAACCCAGCCTCCCTAGTGACCTGAGCTGGGCACGCTAGGTGCGCCCCTGTATGGGCTGTGTGCACAGTCTTGTAGTTGAGCCTTGATTGCTGCTGCCATCACTGGGAGGATTGCCCTTCAGGTTAATTGGCTGGAGGACCAGCTGAGTCTAAAATGGAAGACCTGCTGTGCAGGAGACACCTCTATGGAGCAGGACTTGCTTCAGTGGGGCTTTGGCACTCACTGAGTCTGCCTCTTGAGTGTGTTGCTTGAGGATGTATAGAGTTGTAATCTGGTATGTGCACCAGGTACACTGACTCTGGGGCCTTTTGGGGGGTGCAAAGTTAGCCACTACCTGCAGCCACCTGGCAGGAGCTATAGAGAGATCTGCAGATAACTGCTACTTGTATTGGGCTAGGAAGTGCCCAGGCGAGGCCCAGCTGTGAAGCAAGGCAGGTGAGTATTGGGACTTTTATTGATAGTTTTGGGGCATATCAACACCAGCTTCTGCTTGTTTGAAAGATTTTAGCAAAGTCTGAAGCCTGAACCAGGACAGACCATGCATATGGAAAAGTAGCTACAAACAGCACAGGTGGGGCTGCACATTGGATGGGGTGGAGCCTCAGGGAATCTCCAGGGTGGAGCGAACAGCATGGGCTATGCTGGTGAAGACTCAGATATGGTTGCCAGTCATCTCTGCTATGGGAGAAGTCCCAGTACAGGAACAATGACCCCCGTGAGCACCCTCATCTGGGAGAAAGTTGCCTCGAAGTTCCTGCCTCAGATGCCAGCCAATCCAGTTTCTTCCCTTATATCCCTGGGTCCCCTAAAGCCTCCCAGCTGTAGCTCAGAGGGATTGAGGCTAAGTTTGTGCACAGGCCCTTTGAGAGGAATACCTGGGTCTCCAGCAGACTCCGTGTTACTCAGCCACAGTCTCTGCTGGTTTTTATAGCCCCAGGTTATGTGGATGTCTCTTCCCAGCTCTGGAACCCTGGCTCCTCACAGGGCAGTTGGTATCTGAAGCTGTGATATCCCTCCCAATTAAAAATATGGCACACATGGGTGTCAGACCAGCCCATTCTGTGCCTCCACCCCTTCTGCCGGTTTCAATGTGTTTTCTTCTTTACTTCTCTAGTTGTAGGACTTCTATTCAGGCCCCTTTCAGGTGGTTCTGAATGATGGCTGTTCTGTATTTTAGTTGTAATTTTAATGTAGTTGTGGGAGGTGGCAAGTACTGGCGTTTACCTACACTGTCATCTTGGTTCTTCCTCCTGGATTATTTTTTAATCTATCCTTCTGATCCTCCTGACCAGGCAGCTTCCCTTGACGTAATGGGAAGCACACTGGATGGGGATTCTGGAGACTTGGCTCTAGTTCCAGCTTTGCTACTTTTAAGCCATATTTATAGACCTTAGGAGGTCAAAATAGGTCCTTAGCTACTTTGAAATGCTGTTGTTTTTATAAACCACTATAGGCCTGGTGCAGGATTTGTGCACCGGTGGGGTCCCTCAGCCTGGCCTATGGGGACTGGGCTGAAACTGGCTCTCTGACATCCCCTGAGGGGTCCCAGATTGTGAGAGGGTGCAGGCCAGGCTGAGGGACCCCACCAGTGCACGATTGGGGACAGGGAGGAACTGTGGGAGGGCTCCAGGGCATGTCCGGCTGGTTTTGCTCAGTCCCGTTCGGCTGGACCCCAGCAGCAAGCTAACCTACCGGTCAGAGTGTCTGCCCCCTGGTGTTCAGTGTGCATCATAGCGACTTGTTGAACAGTA